GCACATCCTCAGGACCTGGGATTGAATTAAAACATCAGATCCAGATACTGTATGTCAAGCTCTTTATGATGGTTAATTTTAGGTGTCAACATGACTTCGTTAAGGTACTCAGATAGCTGGCAAAACATTATTTTGTTTGTGTGTATGTCTATGAGGTTGTTTCCCTCAAATGAATGAAAATCTGAATCAGTAGACTGAGTAAAGAAAGTCCACCCTTAATAATGCAGTGGACACCGTCCAATATGTTGAAGGCCAGGATAGAACAGAAAGACAGAGAAAGGGCAGATTTTCCATCTCTGCTAGAGCTGGGGCATTCTCTTCTTCTGAGCTTCAACATCAGAACTTCAGATACTCAGATCTTTGGATATCAGGACTTAAAACAGTTTCTCAGGCTTTTGGACTCAGACTGACTCATGCCACTAACTTCCCTGAATCTTCAGCTTTTTGATGGCATGTTGTTGGACTTCTCAGCTTCCAAAATTGCTGAGCCAATTCCCATAATAAATCCCTTTCTTTCTTTTTTCTTCACTTCCCTCTTCTTACACACACACACACACACACACACACACACAGGTTTTATTTCTCTGAAAACTGTGACTAAAAGCTAAAATCTAAAATACCTTTCTAGATAATTCCTCTAGAGTTCATTTTGTTTTAATTAAAAAAAATGTTTTCATGGAAATTTTTTCAGTTCCAAAATTGCAACACCATCTCCCATCCCACAAACTCTTCTTATAATGTGGAACAGATATTGCTGTATCAAGAGATGGAATATACATCCTCTCCCTTTAAATTTGGGCAGGTGTTTGATACCCATGGAAGTGGCACTACATGTCTTCCTAGTCTGGGACATAAGGGACAATGTATCTTCCAGCTGGTTCTATTGAGATGTGAGGTCTTAGACACCAGACACCAAGTCATATGTAAGCACAAGCAACCTATAGAGAAGTTCACATGAGGATAAAATACTACTCTTTGCTGATAGCCCTGGCTAACACCCAACATCAACTTGCCATCCATGTGAGTAAGCTATCTTGAATACATCCATGTTCTAGTGGAACTGATGCCACATGGAGTAGAGGACCATTCCCACCATACCTGTCCAAATTGTAGATACACGCCCAAGCAAATGACTTGTTATTTTAAGCCACTACAGTATTTGAGGATGGGTTACAAGTTAACTTATACAGTTTTCTAGTCATATAAGTCCTAGAATTTATAAGTTAATTTGGGGCACATTCTTTGATTTAAAATTTCCTTTTTTTCCTGGAAAGAGCTGTCCCAATCACATTCTACAAAAAAGACTGGAATCATTGAGGAAGGTTAGAAGTGACAGGTAAGCAAACTAATGTTTTTGAGTCATGCTTGTTCAGTGGATGGGAAGAAGGAATGAGGACACTCTTCTCTTTTAGACTTGAGTCTCCTGTGAGTTACCTTTCCCATTTGTTCTTCAAGAACCTATGGGCATGGTGTATGGCTAGGTGTGGTTTTTACATTGGATAACTAATAAGCCTAGCATTCTGTATTTCCAAAAAAAAACAAACACTTCTGTCAGGTTAAGAGAAGTTGACAGAAGTTTCCATACCTGACATATACAACATTCCTAGATTCAGCACCACATTTATTAGGGACATCAGTGAAAAGCTAGGTACATCTTGGAGTTGTTCTTGGAGTTGGGTTATGTTTCTCCTTTGATAAGTTGGGATCTATGCTGCCTTTGAATACTCAATTGGGTGTCCATGTGAGGGAGGAGTTTCCATCCTTCCTGGATTCAAAGCTCAACAATATGTTAAGAGGAAAAGATTTGATTGGTCTCATTCCTCATTGTCAGTTGATATAACATGTCCCTCCTGAGCTGATCTGTAACTCAACTGACACAAATTTGATGATAAAGATGATGCTAAATTTCCCCTTTGTATCTTAAATTTTTCCTTTTCCTTTCTTTCTTCACCTCCTTGTTCTACTCCCAACAGACTTATCCAGGAAGTTATTCTCATTTTAAGAGGTTCCTTTGAACTATCTCATGAGTTATGCATTTAAGCTATACTGTGTACTTTTTTTCTTTCCAACCTGACAGCTTCAGTTTCCTAGCAGAAACCACCACCTTGAATAGGACAAAGTGGATGGCCAAGCAAATATGACCAATTTGGATGGTGATAGAGGCTCTGTCCATTTTCTTCAGTTTGCAGACCACTGGAAGGAAATTTCTATGAGCCCAGATGCTTCTCATTCCCCTACCTATTTATGCCACTAAAGAATAAGGAAGTAAGGTTAGACCTAGAGAACCCTGTAGGCCACAATGAGCTGCTTATAGGTTTTGGAAGGGGAAGAATCCTATTACCACCATTTGTATTAGTCAGTTTTCTTTTTTTACCTTAACAAAATGCCTGAGATAGTTAACTCCATAAAGAGAAGAGGTTTATTTAGCTCATGGTTTTGAAGGTTCAAGGTCATGGTACCTACAGTTCAGGTCTGGTAAGGACCCCAGAGCAGATACCAGATGGCAATAATGGTGACATGTGTCTGGGCTTGAGGTTACACTTCAACACAAGAAGCAGAAAGAAAGGAGCCAGACTTGCTTCTTTTATAACAAACCTTCTTGGAAGAACTAGCAAGGGCTCCAAACAGAACAGCCTTCTGAGACCATTCCCCTAAGGATTTAGCACTCATATCTTAAAGGTTCCGTACCTCCTAAGACTGCTGCTTTGGGGGTCAAGCCTCTAATCACATGAACCTTTGTATTATGGTTTGGATGTGAGGCGTCCCCCAAAATCTCACATGTGAGACAATGCAAGAAGGTTCAGAGGAGAAACGATGGGTTATAAGGGTCTTAACCCAGTTAGTGAATTAATCCCCTAATAGAGATTAACTGAGTGATAACTGCAGTGGTGGGGTGTGGCTGGAGGAGGTGGGACTTGGGGTGTAGCTTTGGGGGTATATATTTTGTATCTGGAGAGTGGAAACTCTCTGCTTTCTTATCATCATGTGAGCTGCTTCCCTCTGCCACAATCTTTGCCATGATGTCTTGTCTTACCTCTAGCCCCAAGGAATGGAAACTGCTGTCTATGGATTGAGACTCTGAAACTATGAGCCTCTAAATCAACTTTGCCTCCTCTATAATTGTGTTGGTTGAGTCTTTTAGTCACAGAAGCAAAAAAGCTGACTAAAAACACTTTGAGTGAGCACAATTAAACCATTTCTAAACTATAGCACCAATCCTGCAAATGGATTCCAATAAGACTTCACAGTTCTAGGATTCAGGGAGATTGTGCGTGTGTGCCTGCGCTAAGGGTGGAGTTGTTATTTTTGGGGTATTCTGTTTGGGAATTAGTACACCAATGAGGCCTAGAGCTTCCAGCTCACTTCATAGTCCCAAGAAAGGCATTTGGTCTTGAAAGAGAACCTAAGTCAATGGTTCAGGTAGAGTTGTCCCCAAAGTGATATATCATGAGTGTGTATGCATGAATAGAGTGGGTGGGTAGGTAGCAGGTACTTAAGAGTTCTGGTGCTACAGATGATATTCAGATGTCAAACTTTACTAGTGTATTTGCTATTCTGCTTGGGGTCCCAGCTTTCTATCTCTTGTCTGGTAGTGAGCTAAGAGAGTTCAAGTTTCAGGGAAGGCTGTTTCTCCATCTTCAAGACTACTTTCTATGCAAGGTGTGTGTTTCTGTGCATGTGTGTTTTCCTAAGAGTAAGTCTTCTTGTTCTTTTGGAGGCTTCATGTCCTAGAGGCAGGGCTTTGTAGCTAATGAGTGCTCTAAGCTGGTGAAATTCCTGAGCTCTCCTTTGCTGTCCCTTTGTCTTCCTTCCTTGGCCAACAGCCCACCTTAGGGAGCAGTGTGATTCTTACCCCTGCTTTCACTCCTTGAAAGAACAAACATCTTCACTGCAGCCTCGGCATGCTGGGTGTGAGGTGATTGTAGTAGATGTTTCCATGACACTCATTTATTTCTTCTGCAAATACAACTGTATTGGGGGAGGGGATGAGGAGAGGCTAGAGTAGGAAGATTGGGAAATATGAAAACCACCCAAGATCTGTAATTATTTTTCTCTGAAGGAATAAGAGGCTCCTCCCTTTCTCTGGGTCTTCTCCACCCCCAAGCCTCTAAACTGCTCCCCAAATTCATCTTGGTTTCAAGTTGCTGAGAGGCGGCTAGGCAGTGAGTAAGGTGGGGAGGGTGGGATCATGTGCAGGAGGAAGCAGCGTTTATTTAGGAGAGGGGGAAAAACTTTTATTACTGAAAGTTGGGATTTAGTAATGATGAGCAACGAGGACCGGCACTGGGGGTGGCAGTGTGTACATTGTGTTCTAGAGGGGTCTATGACACGCCTCAGCTGAGTCAATGACTCATTTAAAATCTCAGCGACTTTTAGAGGTCATTTTAGTCATCCCCCTGCCTTCAGGCTGGATGGAGCCTAACTTGATATCACGTTTGGTGGAGGTGGTGTATCGCTCTGGGCTAAGAGTGTCTGTGTGTGTAAAGGAGTGGGGGTGGGGGAGGCAGCGCGTGACCTCTTTGGAAAAGATCTCCAGCGAAGGACATTCCCGAGCTTCCCCAGGCTGCCCGCTCCAGGGTTTCCCCATCACTGAATCAGCATGGTTCTCCCGGGAACTGCTTTTTGCTGGATGGAAACCGGATGTTGGGTTCCCTGGGTGGGCGGGGGCTCCATCCCCTCAGACTTGTCAGGGGTAATTGAGACTCTTACGGTCCCGTTAGCCAGCCCGAGAAGCTAGCTCTTCTTTCACCTTTAACTTGCCATGCAGTGTGAAGAGAGAACAGAATACAGCGAAGACGCTACAACGCCTTCTCCCAGGCAATGCGCATGATTCTGCGGCTCTATGCTTGCCACACTTCAACGCACCTTGAAATGGGCTCGCCTCCTTCGCGCCGCGACGGGCAGATCTTTTAACCAATCGGTCCGCAGACTTATGAAAATAGACCAATAAATAGGCGGCGGGGGCGGGCCCAGAGGCCGGGCTAGGCTTCACCGTAGAACTGGCTGTGCTCTGCCTCCACTAGTAGTGCAGGTGCCGCTGCGCTGGGGCCGGGGAGGCTGCGCGCCGAGCCAAGCTGAGCCAGGGAGGGATGGAGAGCGGGCAGCCCGGGTTGCAGAAGCACCGGCGCGGGTCGTAGGCGGGCGAGATACGGGCGCTCGGGCACGAGAAGTGTGCGGGTGCAAGAGCACTTTGAGATAGGATGAGGCTCTTGGCTGGCGCGGTAGTACTATGATTTGGTATGTGGCCACTTTGATAGCAAGTGTGATCAGCACCCGAGGTCTTGCGGCTCAAGGTGAGTTGAAGTGCAGCGTCCCTCCTCTGCCCCTCCCGGCGCTCTCAGCCCTTTGCTCCTGGCTCTAGCTCCCCGACTCTGCAGAACGCCGCTGCTTATTGCGGGTGAGGCTCCAGCTCTGGCCAGGCGCGCCTCGGGGCACTATTGGGGAGGGCCTGGGGGCCAAGGGCTGGAGGACCTCGGCGGGAAGGGGCTAGAGCAAATAGGCTACCCAGCACTTGAGGAAAGAATGTTTTGGAATCGTGGTCGACTTCGCTCACCTTGGGCCCTATGGTCCACACCGGCACGTCGAACCCGTTGCCTCTAGTTGGAGCAGCCTCCTATTCGAGCTTTGGGGGAGGCAGTGGCTCTCCTAACTCTGACTGCTGGGGAGTTTGCAGGTCATCAGGCAGTCTGCAGCACGTTCCAGCCCGGTGCAGTGCCACTGCTCCACTGAAGGGTTCTTACTGAGAGCCGCGACACGGAGGCTTGGGACTCTGCACCCAGGTCTAAGAGACAGGGTTCTCGGCCCTGCGGGCAGCTACCGGTCCAGCTCACGCCCCTCCTGCCCATACAGCTTGGCAGTTGGAGGTCGGATCACTCGCTGGGGCGGGGGTCCTTAGACACCTAGTGAGAAGAGAATTGATGAACCCGGCAGAGGAGAGCCAGCCCGCTTTGGGCTGGCCCTGACAGTCTCCCGCGCCGGTTTTAGCCGCACCTGGGCCCCGGCCAAGCAAAAGTTCCCCGGCATCGCGTCGCAGTAGCGACGACCTCATGCTGCCTTCCCTAGCTACGAGGCAGAGCTTTCTAGGGGCCAAGGCGACGCGGGAGATGTCCCCACTAATGCATCAAAAATGGGGTGGGGGATTTTCCTCTTTCTGCTTTCTCTGTTCTGAGTCGGAGAGGAAGCAAGAGGGAACCCTTGTGTTGGGTGATGCGTGCGTGAGCGCGCGGGCTTTTGCTTTGGAGACCGGCAGAGCGACCTGCGAGCCTCTGGGTGGCACCCCCGGCTCTCAGCCCTTGTATGGAAGTAGAAGCGGAGCCTGGAGGCTGCCCCGACTCTGAGCTCATGGTTCTCAGCGCGCACACACGACCTGGTTGAGGGCAAGTTCACAGAGCCTGTAGGAGATGGCGGCTGGAGAGAACCGGTCTGTAGGTGGAAATAGGCGGTGGAGACCCGCCAACCAGCGCACCCACTCTCAGCAGAAGGGGTCTGCGGGAGGCGTCCTTTCCAGGGTCTTCTCGCCTCCTTGTCTAGGCCTGTGTTTGTGTGTGTTGAGGCTGGGGGGGGGGGAGGGTGATTTAAGAAAGTTTCTGGAATGGAATATGTCGCTATGCTACTTGGGAGGGGGACATCTGAAAACAGAAGGAGCGAAGGGTGAAGGGAAGGATGATTTAATCAAGTGGTATGTTTATTTGAATAGTTTTGAAACTCTCCATTTGTCAGGTGGGAAAACTGAGTCTAGGTTGACTGCCAAGGTTTATGGATTGAGAGTGGAGGTGAGGTGACTCGGGTTATGCCTGAGAATATTTGCCTCATCCTCATCCTCTCCCCTGTTTCCTTGTAGTCTTCCTATGTCCTCATCCTCCTCCCCTCCAGTTTTTGGTATGTTCCTGCTATGGGACTGTCGCTGAAAGCACAAAAGGATGTGCTGGGATCTTTGAATAGAAGAGACACTGAAGGAAGGCTCTGATATAGCTTCTAAACCTAAGCCAGGGTAGGGGCAATGGACTTTAAAAAAAAAAAATTTAAAGTTTATACACAGAATAAAGGCAAATGGATTTATATTGCAGCAACACACAAAATGTCGAGACAGGAAGAACTTCTCAACATTTCAAGTTGTTGGGCATGAAGGTTATGCCTTCTTATAGAGTGCAGAGGTCCTTCTGTCTGAGATGGTTTGGCATGCATCCCTTTCTGAAAGCAGGGATATCCTTATTGGTCTCAGGGTCTTTTTACCATAGTGGCTCTAGGTATGGTGGCTAGGGACCTAGGTTTAGAGTTAAATCACCTGGATTTAAGATGTGGCTCTACCACTTGCTGACCCTGTGACCTTGGACAAATTGCTTGACCTCTCTAAATGTCACTTGCCTCAGTGGAAAATGGGTTAATAGTATGAGCTTATAGTCCCCCCCCAAAAAAAAAAACATTAGTGTTATAAAGAAACAAGTGGCTACCTGTTATATGTTATACAGTATGTGCTCATTAAATGTTAACATCATTTCAATATCTCTGGGATTCCTGGCCCCTCCTCTACTTTTTCCTCTTTGGTCCACTTGGGACCCTTTTGGGACTGTTTGGGGAGAAGTTAAGGGGACTGCCTCTGTCAGAATTGGAGATCCCTTTATGGACTGACCTTGTCTGGGCAGAGCCTCTTGTTTCCCTGCATCCAGAGACATGTGCAGGGTGTGCAATCTTCAGAGCTACTTGGAAATGTCTCCTCCTGTGAGCAGCACCAGCCAATGCTGGGGTGCTAGTGGGACTCCTTGTGAGAGCTCAGCTATTCTCTGCCTGACAGAGGTGACTTCTGGGGAGATCCCTAAACTGGAAGGACATTTGGATGCCACTCTAGGATTTGGCTGAAGCAGGGGCTGCTTGGGCAGAGGGTAAAATAGGATGGGTTCCTCAAGCCATGTTGGTTTAGGACTGGGTCAACCCAGGGATATGGGACAAATATGGAGATAGACTTCTTTTTTTGACTTTGGTGGTGTGTGATTGAGGTCATTGGATAGGTTGGGAGGGTGAGGAAAAGAGAGGGACTATTGGTATAGTTTCCTCATCCCAGATGTGTGCCTAGCAAGTCGAGGGGAGTTTCCACACTGTTTCCACCCTGGGCCTTGCTTGGCTCACTCTGAGCCTCAGACATAGTGGGAAGTCTGAGCTTTATTCTCAAGGCTGCCTCCCCTCTTTGCCACAAATCCTATGGTTGAATTATTCCTGCCTCCAGTATCCCCAGATAAAGTGGAATTCTGACTCAGATCTTGATGGTGGTTGGACCAGTGCCCTCTGTTCTCTCCCTGGCTTTGACCTACCCTTTGTCCTTTGGCATTGAAGATAGGAGAGAGGAGGTTTAAACCTCACTGGTCCTATCAAATGAGAAGACTTGGCCCAGGAAGTGTTCATTTTGTGTGTGTGTGTGTGTGTGTGTGTGTGTGTGTGGTGTGTGTGTGTGTGGTGTGTATGTGTGTGTGTGGTGTGTGTTTGTGTATATATGTCCCCAGTGCATGTATGTTGGAGTCAGGGGTGTGTCTGGCAGCCTGTACCCTGGGAGAAGCTGGGGAGGCCATGTTTTGGAAAGGGGATGGTCAAGAGACAGTGAGAAGAACGAGCTTTCAGCTGTTGGCCTGTAGCTTGACATATGCCAATCTCTGGAGTTGTCAGGTCCTAGGTCCTAGTTGGTTTCATGTTTATGGTTCTGAGACAGAAAGCTAGAATCTGGTTACCTGAGGAGCAAAGACTGCTTCTCTGAGAAATGCTGAAACCTATTGCCTCTCTGGCCCTCCCTCCTATACCTTCCTCTCTGCCCTTTTCCAAGCCAGGTGCCAGCTCTCAGAGGCTGACCCTCTGTATGCATTCTCCCTTGGCCCACTCCTTCTCAGCCCTGCTGGATCCTGGCTTTTCCCCCATAGCCTTCCTGTTTGCTGAGCTGAAGATGTGGGGGTGGGTGATAAACCCCATAGAAGGCAGGGCCTGAGATTTAACCAGTTCTCTTCTCCAGGAGAGTTTCCTTCTCCAACATCCTATGGCCTTCTCGGCTGGGATTCAGGGTCCCTAGGGAGAAGTCTTCTTCCATTTGCTTGCTGGGATGCTTGCTTGCTGGAATGTGTTAAGCAACTTGTTAAGAATGGATTTCAATGGTGAAAAGATCTGTAATTGGTGAGAACTTCTAGATGTGTGTGTGTGTGCGTGTGTGTGTGTGAGTGTGTGTATATCTGAATGTGTCCCTGCATTGTATGCATACCTGTATGTGTGTGCATTTGTATATATAACTGTGTGTATACCTGCACTTGTATATGTATTCCCATATATGTGCACAGGTTTGTGTACAGCCTTTTGTATGTTATATGTGTGTGTGTGCAAGCACCTGTGTATATATGTGCACATATGTGGACTGCAGCAGGGCAAGGTAGTTAGGTGCAGCCATGAGGTAGGAGCCACTTCTCCCCTAGTGCTGTGGGTAGCAGTGAGACTACTGCTTCAGTATATTCCTTGCTTTCTGATCCCCTTGCTCTGTACCTGAGTCTAGGCAGCTCAGCAGTTATTAACATTAAAGGATGGCTGGGGTTCTAGAGAGAAAACTTAAATGGTAGGACAGAGTCTGAGCTTATGGGGACACTGAAAATGGCCTATCTGTCTAAAAGGGGAACTGTGGCATCAGATGCCATCATCCAGGCATAGTGTAGAACACAGAAGGGGCTGGGTCCCTGGGGAGGTGGGAGAGGAGGCAGGGGTGGGAGAGGCAGCTTATAGTCAGCCCCCACCCATTGCCCAGGGGCACTGCCAATGGGTGTTGGCCTGGTCTGCTAGAGGCAGCTGACCTATTTTTCGTAAGAATCTTCCTGCTTTTCTGTTCTCTCTTGCGTGAATAAGCAGAAGAGTGGTGAGCAGAGATGGGGCCTCTGTCTATGAGGGTTTTTGAGAAAGATTCCATGGGGCCATGGCTGTGAGGGAGGTCTCTGTCAGCCCGCCGATCCTTTTGAGAAGACAGGGGACTGACAAGCAACCTTTCCCCCCTTGTAGTCCCTTACTTCATTCCAGGTCACATGTGCCCATTGAGACAGGGCTGTGGCATACAACTTGCACACAGGCAAATATTGTATGAGGTGAGTCACTGTCCTCATTTTCTGGCTCCAGAGTAGGGAGTGTTGATGTTTCACCAGGAGCAAATATGGAACTTTGATTTCCCACTTAGTAATTGTGCCAATTTGGCCCCTTACCCCAGGATCCTGGCCTGGTGACAGGCCTAGCCTGTAATGCCCTCACTGGGCTGGCCTTGCTGCCTGCCTTCTGGCCTGGGGGT